TGACTGGGTCTGGTGTACTCCAGGCTAGCCCTCACTCACTGTGTGCAATGACTGGCCTTGAACTCCTGATCCTCTTGTCTCTACTTCTCGAGTGCTGGGGTTTCAAGCAAGCATCACCATGACCCTGTTTTCAAAAGAGAACATGGTGATTTCCTAGAATCCAATGCTATCTTCCTCAGTAGATCTTACCCTATTTCTAAAGTGACTCAACTGTATTCCATTTATTTAGCTCTCTTTCTAGAACATATACATACTTTTGGTCTTGCGATTTAGATTTATTTTTTTTAAGACAAGTATCTTTGTCTAGGCAGGGCTGGCCTCAAACCCATGATGTTCCTGTCTCCATCTTCCCATTGTTGGGTTATAGGGGTGTGCCAGGCCACCATAGAGGGTGTTAGACGTAAATACAAATTGTCCTTATTTCAGCATATTTGGAGCTCACTGACAGTAGAGATCGTATTTTATTTTCTCTGGAAGCCTAACATTGCTCCACACAGCAAACAGACAGTTATTGAATGAACATTTGAGGTTTATCATACACACAGCACCAAGATCGATCTTTTTGTTTCTGAGACAAGGTCATGTCGTGTAGCCCAGGCTAGCCTTGAACCGCCATTCTCTTACCTCCATCTCCCAAGTGCGGGGTTATACGCATTCAGCCCCATTCACAACTTTAAGATTGATCTAAGGGGCTGGAGAGATGGCTCAGTAGTTAAGGGCTGTGACTGCTCTTCCAGAGGACCTGGGTTCGATACCCAACATCTGCATTGCAGCTCACAACTGTCTGTAACTCCAGTCCCAGGAAATCTGTTGTCCTCACTTGGCTCCACTGGCACTAAATTGTTTTTATATAAGTAAATATAAATATCTCACTTATAGAAACCAGGTTGGCCTCAAACAAGCCTCTGTCTCCTGAGTGCTTGGGTGTGTGCTATCACATTCTTCTATAAGTTGCTATTTGAATTACCTGTTCTTCATAGAGCTTAATGGTTATTAATAAAGAATCCTGGAAGACTGAATGTTTGTTCTTTTCAGAAAAGAAAGTAACCTCGATCGCGTTCAGGTTCCAGTCCTAAATAAATAAATAAATAGCCTGATAACTTGATTGCCACAAGATGGCAGAATAACATCGCAGTTCAGGTCAACCTTATGGCAGCCTCTTCCCAGACATCACAGGCTACTTGCTAGCCGTCCAGAGAACAGGAAGTGACCACAGAGAAATTTTGACCAAAGTTGGTGTGGCCCATACATCACCTGCTCCATGTCTGCTGGTCTTCGGCAAGGGTGTTGGACAACAGGCAACGCCTACCTCCTGAGCATGTGAGGTGGGACTCTGGGTCTCCTGCAGAGGGCCAGAATACCACTCTCCCCAGGAGGAGCACGTGAACATGTGTGGAGAGAGAGAGAGAGAGAGAGAGAGCGCTACCTAGAGAACATTGCGAGAGACCATCTCAGCAGCAGCAGAAGAGAACACGCATGGCGCCGACACTGGTGGGCAGTCCCAGTGCCTCACGTACACCCTGGGGAACCAGGGGAAGTTAGCTTTGGGAAACTGGATTTCCCCGTGTTTCTCTGTGCCCCGCAGGTCACACGATGCATCTTGGTTGCCTGTGTCCGGGATTTAGCAAGCAGATGACAGAAGAAAGCAGCTGGCAAACCTGTAACCACTGTGGTTGGCTTTGGGATTTGAGTGCCTGGTCAAGGTGCTTTCTTTCTTTTCTTTTCTTTTTTTTTTTTTTGTGGTTTTTTGAGACAGGGTTTCTCTGTAGCTTTGGAGCCTGTCCTGGAACTAGTTCTTGTAGACCAGGCTGGCCTCAAACTCACAGAGATCTGCCTGCTTCTGCCTCCCGGGTGTTGGGATTAAATACATGCGCCACCACCGCCCAGCATGAGAATGAATTTTAACACATGGGAAGCTGGGGGTGGAGGACAGCCAGTCTGGGCTACGTAGTGAGTTCTAGGCAAGCCAGGATTGATAGCAAGACCCTCATCACAAAACAAGAGAGACAGAGAGGTAGAAAGAGAGAGAGAAAGAGGGGGGTGGGGGAGAAAGGCTTGTGGACCTGCCCTGTAGCTGCAGATTGTCAGGAATGACAGTCTCCCCATCAAACCCAAACATGCATGTCCAAGGCTTGCGACTGCTAAGTATGTGCTATCACTGCAGGACTCAGAGCACACTCGTGCTTTAGGAAATCAGCCTGCTAGGAAGCCCTGGAGGCTAGAGACAGTTTTTGGGTCCTGTATGGGAGAGGAAGCGCAGCGAGAGATGGACAAGCCCTCAGGACGGCTGCCTGCACTCCGCCCTGAGACACACCCTCACTGTCTCGCTGACCTGACCCCTCTGCAGAAGGCTGGCTCGCAGGCAGAAAAGCCTCCTGCTTGGCACAGCTAGCTCTCTTCGGGTCTGCTCTGTGGCTTCTGGCACCATCTTATCTTATTTTGATAAAAGGAATTTTGCAATAAAAATTTCTTGGCGGTGGTTCAACAAAGGATCTACTTATTATCATTTGAAAAACTGTGAGGGGTGGAGCTGGCGAGAGAGCTCAGCGGAGAGCACAGGGGTTCTCCCCCAGAGGACAGGAGCTGGATTCCCAGCACCGACATTGGGTGGCTCACAACCATCTATAATTCCTGCTCCAGGAGATCAATGCCTTCTTCTGGCCTCTATATGCAGCCACACATGTATGTACATTCACACAGGTAGCCACAAACACTCGGACAAAAACGAAGTACATCTTTAAAAACGAAACTAAGCTTCAGAGGGATGTGGAGATGGTTCAGTGAATACATTCCCCTGCTATGGAAGGATGAGGATGGATCCCCAGCACCCAGATTAAAAAGAGCTGGGCATGGTCCACACAGGTGCTGGGGAGGCAGAGATCGGGGATACTTGGGGTTTGCTAACCATCAGCCTAGTAAAAGAATGAGCTCCAAGTGCAGTGAGAGACTCTCTCACATAAGTATTACAAGAGAGTCCATGGTGGCGCACGCCTTTAATCCCAGCCCTCGGGAGACAGGCAGGTTGATCTCTGTGAGTCTGAGGCTAGCCTGGTCTACAGAGTGAGTCCCAGGACAGAGAAACCCTGTCTCAAGAGGGAAGAAAGTAATCACAAGATAGTCGATTGTATTACTAGAGTTCCAAGAAAGGCCCTGCTTCAAAAAACTAAGGTAGAGAGTGATAAAGCAGACAGCCAACATGTGCAAACACACACGTACAGAAACATCTGAACACACACACACACAATTTTGGGGCTGGAGATGTAACTCAGCTGAGGGCTTGGCTAGCATACACAGGTCCTGTTTGATTCCCAACGTCACAGACACTGCACCTGCACACACCTGCAGCCTCTGAGGAAGACAGAGACAAACAGACCCTTCTGACAGAGGGTCAGAAGTTCAAGGTCAGGAAGACTGAGACAGGAGGACCGGAAGTTCAAGGTCACCTTCTGCTACGTGGGCGCCTCGAGGCTACTTGACATCCTATCTCTGCAAACAAACCAGTCAAACAAACCAGAGATCAGTGAAGGATCACTAGTATGCCATAAATGATCAGTGTGCATTCCATTGTCTTCTGAAAACAGATGATGATAGGGGATGTTTTGAAGCAAGCAGCGGCCCCTGAGACCATCAGCACAATCTAGAGAGCTCACGTGTCTATCCCCTGGAGTGTCCCTGTGTCTGCCCTGTGCAGTTCTCCCTCAACCTCTTCCAAGCAGTCACTGATATTTCCATCACTTTCAGAGTTCACATCTGTAATCCTAAGTCATTTTCCACCGTGTGGATGTTCTAGGGCGGATCCCTCTGCCTGTCTTTGGATATGTAATGTTCTTTAATAACCTGGAATTGGGTGGACTGAGCGTCTGGTAGGCACGCCTAAGATACTGTTAAACAATTATACCTTTAAAAAATGAAAAACAGTGTCCCCATCATTTTTCATTCCCAGGATCCCATGCATGAGACAGAGCTTTTCCACATCTTTGTCAGAATGTTTTTCATTCCCAGGATCCCATACATGAGACAGAGCTTTTCCACATCTTTGTCAGAATGTTTTGACTTCATTTATCTTACTGAGGGTGTAGCAGTATTCCATTGATTTGGGTCTGCATTTTGTTTAATTATGTCTAATATCAAATATTCTTTTTTGTCGTCCACATATCTTTTGGGGACAGGAGTTTGAGATGGGTTTTTACCATGTAGACTAGTGTGGCTTCAAATGTATATTAATCTTCCTCATTCTCTCAAGGGTTGGGGTTATAGATGTGCACGACCATGTCTAGCCATATAACTTCCAAAGTCAAGTATTTGCTCAAACCTTTGCCCATTATGAAATCAGATTAATAATAATAAAAAATAAGCTGAGCTCATCAGGGCTGGAGAGATGGCTCAGCAGTCAGGAGCATTTGCTGCTCTTGCAGAGGACCCACAGTTGATGGCATTGCTCTGTGCAGCTGGCACACTGGCCTAGAAAGCATTACACAAAATGCCAGAGAAGTGGAGTTTATAGAGATTTCTAAATGATCTGTGCAATTTGCCAATAAGCACACAACTAGTCTGAAATAAGCGTCTTTAAAACACCAAAGTAGCCATTTAGAAGAACAGCCAGGGAAAGTTTATTGCAGTTGCGGTAAACGCTCAATTCTAGAAAGGATCTTCCCAACCACAAAACAGACATTCTCCCTCGGCCTTCCCGATGCTCTTGTCAGATCCTAAATGTGTGTTTATTTCTTCAAGCTGTAAAGTGGTTCTTGTGGGGCTCCACGAAATAGAAGTGTGTTAGATCCTCCCTCCCTCCCCCGCACCCTCAGCACACGCACCCTTCCTACGCTTCTCTTCCACACTAATTTGACCATGGCGCTTTTACTGGTGTTGTCAGAGATCCTGAAAGTCCCTTCAGAGGAGGACCTGGAGATGCTTAGTGTCTGTGGGACGTTTGAAAGCACGGAGCGAGATTTACAGATCGCAGGCCACCCCATGAGTCACTGTGCTTTGTGTACACATGGAGCGTGTGTACACATCCACCAAGAACTGAAAGTCGGAGTCCTGCTGACGAAAGCATTCTGATAACACATTTCCCACATTTGGGATGAACCCTCAAATTCAAGAATTCAAAAAGCACAAGGCTCTGCCCCATATGAATACCAATTGGGTTTCCAGGTTGCTGGATATAGGTTTGCCCAGAAAGAAGACCACCCATTATACACAGTGTTAAAATGCACGGTACCCAACCCTGAGTACAGCAAGGCTTCTAACTGAGTGAAACCCATGACATGGTAGCCTGCCCTGGATCTCAGCACTGGGCTCATGACCACAACCAAACAACAAGAGACTCAGATAAAATCAATTCAGAGCGTGTAGAATGAGCACAGAGTCATCCCAAGCCTTGGAGGGCTTCTTGGAGGGCTTCTTGGATGGACCAAGAAGACGCCAGTTATTCACTCACTGGCCAATCCATCATCCACCTATGGCAAAGGTCCAGTGGAGAGTGTGCTGAAGGGGCTTGGCTGTTGTGTGGGTAGGATGTGTGACACATTGCACCAACAGACTAAGCCAGAAGTGACAGGGTGTCTTTCCATGGTCAGGCATCCGTGTAAATTAAACTCCGTTTTGTGAACAGACATGCAGGACTCTCCCTCACTGGTCTCAAAGAAGCTGTGGTGGAGCGGCCATGAGGGAGTGGGCCGACCTCTTTACCACGGTAAGGAGCCATGGGCAAACTAGTGCCTGAGAGCCACTTCCCGTCAGAAACTAAAGCTGTTGCTCAAAGCTAAAAATGAACGTCCGAGACCTGCAGGACCCCAGGAACAGATCTCCACTATTGTGTCTCAGATGAATGGTAGCCTTTGTCAAGGCTACAGCCCAGAACCCAGCCGAGCCACGCCCAGGCTCCTGCCTACAGAGACACTGAGGAAGCAGTGTGAGAGGGTAAGCAGCTCAGGGCATAATCATCTGCCCTGTGGCAAGAGCTGTCTCTCAAGGAGAGTTAGAAATAACACGGTCTGCTGGTCTCGCCCTTGCACCCACCTCGCTCCTCAGCTCCCCAAATGCTGGTATTATAGATGTGCACCTGCCCTTCCCCCAGTGGGTGTTTTCTTGTTCTGTTTTGCTTTGCTTTCTCACCCAAGGCTCTAGGGAACCCTGGCTGTTCCAACTTTTTGTGTAGACCAGGATGGTCTCAAACGTGACGATCCTCCAGCCTCTGCCTTCTCGGCGCTGGGACTGCAGGTGTGCGCTGTCACTACCTGCTATCAGTTTTTCCTGTTGATTCTCACACACTGTGAGATGCACCCTCTCCCACCGTCAAAGAGCAGAATCAGAAATCTGAAGGCCGTAGGGCCCTTCAAGTTTTTTTTTATAGAAAAAGTACAGAAATGGGGACAGGTCCTCAAAGAAAATGCGGGGTCTCATTCCCATAAGTAAAAATAAATAAATAAGGTGTGTCTCTAAATAATAGCCAGATAATAACTGCTCGCCCCAGAGAGGGTGGCGGCTTTCAGAGTTACCCAGCCACAGCAAAGCCGAGAGGCCTCCATCCTCCTACCACAAGCATGTTGTCAAAACACCATCTAACGTTTCTGGACGGTTCCACATCTCTTTTCTTCTAACCTCGGTAGGAATGTTGGCAAGAAAATGTGAAACCGAAGCTTAATAATTAACAAAGACAAACAGAAGGCTTTGTTTTCTTTTTAATAATTTAACTGTGGAATGACACTTGTTATTTGGAGAGAGGTGGCTGCTTGGCCGTCCTTTCCTGATGTTTCCAGCGGGCTTCTGTAGAGTTCAGACCGAATTATACCCTCTGCTTCCCTAGGGTGGGATTAAAGATACCTTGCATTGTTTTGAGACAAGGTCTCATACCATAGCCCAGGCTGGCCTAGACTTACTACATAGCCCATGCTAGTTTCACAGACTTTGGCCAGTCTTCCTGCCTCGGTTTCCCAAGTGCTGCAATTGCAATTATGAGCCCACCACACCCTCCTGTGTTCTTTAGATTGTATGGAAAGCCCCTTTTGATCATTTTTCTCTAAACCCTGGGCATAGGTAATTTGACTCCTATTGTACTCTTACCAATACCACCCACCACCACTACCACCCACCACCACTACCACCATGACCCACCACCCCAACGACCACCACCACCATCAGCAGCACCACCACCCACCATCCCTAGACCCCCACCTCCTCCACCTACCACCACCACCCATCACCCACTCCCACCCCCACTACCTTGAAGGCACAGTGTCAGCTAGGACTCTCTGAAACAGTTTGTGCTGGATTTTTTTGTTTGGTTGGTTTTGGTTTTCAAGACAGGTTTCTCTGTTTGTAGCCCTTGCTGTCCTATGGATCAGCTCTGTAAACCAGAAATTCACAGACATCCTCCTGCCTCTGTCTCCTGAGTGCTGGGATGAAAGGCGTGAACCACCACCAGCCAACTTGTTCTGGACTTTTAAAAACGCGTATTTTACAGCCCAATTGCAGGGTTGCCGTTCTCCCCACCCCCAATCCACTCCTCCTCTGTTTCTGTTCAGGAAGAGGCAGGCCTCCCATAGGTATCAACAAAGCATGACTATCAAGTTGCAGTAAGACTAAGCATGTTAACACACCTTAACACATTTTCCATGTGTTAAGGCTGGAAAATGCAACCCGGTATGAGGAACAGGTTCCCGAAAGCCAGCCAAAGCGTGAAGGACAGCCCCTGCTCCCACTGTTAGGAGTCCCACCAGTAGACCAAGCTGCTGAAGAGAGGGAGGAAGGATCGTGCTGGAGTTTCCTATCACAGACCTTGCCCAACTCTGATCACCGAGGTCAGGAGGAAGCACTACTCCCCCTGGTGGCTCAGTGGAGGAATTGCTGTAACTGATGCAAAAGGGATCCTGCCAGAATTGATGCAAACACGACCCTTCATTTGCATTCCGGTGTGATCTGTGCACACAACCCTCCGCTCACTATATGAGGCAGGTTTTTCGACTCACCTGGTAAGCTGGCTACAAGACATCCTTCCTTGATGCCCGCCCCACAACAGGTAGGGTGTACTATAGCCAAGACCAGTCTCAAATTCCTGATCTTCTTGCCTCTGCCTCCCAAGTGTTAGGGCTGCCACCACACCTGACTTGGGGCAGACTCCAGTCTACTGTTCATAGCACAGGCTAAGAAGAAAAGAACAGGAACATGAATGCATAGGGTGCCATTGGCGACTGGCACTTACTGCTCCTGTAGAGGGAATTGCAGCCATCAGAGAGAAGCATGGTCGGGGGAAAGATGGCTGTAGTCAGGGTCCTAGGCGCAGCAACAGGCACACTCAGCCCAGAGGCAGCAGGCAGGAAAGATAGTTCCTTGCTTTCCTCCAACCTTCTCACAGCGGCCCACAA